ATTAGTTTGGGGGTATACTTTGAAATTCTATGTTCATATGGATAGCCTTTCCCACTGGGAGTCTATGAGCCATGCTTTCAGACTTGGGGTGGTTATGCTACCCCTGTTTGAATATTAACAGGGCATAGAGAGAGGTGGTATTTTCCAATGTTATCTATTTACTTTCTTTTGTTTGAAACTTTGTCATATATCATGTTTGAGTGAGAATGGTGATGGTATCATTATTTTAGGGCTGATGCCCTTGTAGTAGAGAATATTTCTGTGAATGGGCTTAGTGGAGAAAAGGATATACTAATTTCTCAACCAGAGTTGCCATATATTTAGTCTCTGGAACACAAGGAGATGTAATTAGGTCTTAATTAAAACATTATATATTCCATGCTTGTATAATTATGTCAAAATAAATTCTAGTGTAATTTATAACTAAAAAGAACCAATAAAAGCAAACAGAGGATTTTATAAAAATTGATAATGAAGAGAAACTTATTTTCTTAAGTAAATAAAAAAGAGAAGATGGAATTCTGATGTATTGTCCTGTTAGGTAAAAGATCATACCCCTAGTCATGTGACTAAGAACTGAGGAAAGATGGTAGGTACTGAGGAAAGATAAAGCTGTGTGTTTCTGGCTACTCCTATCTGGAACAAAACTTCCATCATGGTGATCTAGGATAGAAGGTGAAAAAATTTGTAATGGTTTAAATGCTTCACAATTTTATTGTTCTTTACAAAATATACTCTACTTTCATGTATATCTAAAAAGAACAAATGAAAAAAATCAAAAATTGGTAGGCTTCATTGAATATATATTTTTTCCTTTGTTCCACTGTCTTAGAAAAAATTTCAGATACTGTAAATGTTTTACTTTATAATTTTCTCAAGTTGTAGTTAATTTAAGAATGGATTCACTGAGATTCTCATGCTACCATTTCAATAGTAGATATCTAGAGTTTAGTTTTGAGGGCTGTAAACTTTATTCTAGTTTTGAGTTCTCTATGGGATATGTACTTTGGAACTATATTTTCTCAATAGCTGTAAGGAAAAAATATAAAGAGACAGAGACAAGATGCAGAGGCAGGAAAGATGGCAGAATGGCCAAATGGCCAAGCTGCAACTTTATTTATATTAATAGATTACATTAGGACACTGGCATCAGTAGTCCATTATTGTTCACTCTGTCATTAGGCAGGTTACAGAGTTAGCAACTTTATGCTGCTTGTTCCTCAGTTACATACAATAGTTGCAATGTGCAATTATTAGGAGTTTTGTGTAGCTCTCAAGAAATTCCCTTGTTTAAAGTTATTTTTATGTGGACAGGTCTAGATGCAGTGGAGGTTGGTGAAACATTGTGGTTGTTTAACAAGAGAGTTTCTTTATTCCCAGGCACTGTGTGCCTGAGATCAAGGTCAAGTCTGATAAGACTCTAATACACAGCCTCCTCATGCAGGCAATTGCTACAATAGCCAGGCATTTCCTAGTAGCCAGACATTCTGTGCTTTACACAGAAACTTCCTAGCAGCCAGGTATATTGTGCCTCTGCACAAAAACTTCCTTAGCCACCAAGTATGCCATAGCCATGAAGCTCTCAGAGACTCCAATCACAAACACAGAACCCTTACAAATAGCTTGACTGTTTATATTTTTATGTGATCTTTTGAATAGTATTTTTCCTTCATTCTGTGAGGTCCCATTGCTCAATTTAATCTTTTATAAATTATACTTTTGATTTTAATCCAAACAATTCTTTGCATTGCCCTAAATCACAAGGTTTTTTTTTAGATATTTCTGTTTTTATTTTATAGTTTTGTTTTCATTTTACATTTCGTCTGTGAGATGGATAATTTTATGTGTACATTTTTCTGGTTTAAAGATTTACTATATCTGGTAGAACTTTATTTTGGTGTGTTTTTAAAGGTTTCTCTGAGAGAAATTAGCACTGAGTGAGTAGACTAACATAGTATGTGTAAATCACCAAAGTGTGCAGGCATCATTCAATACCTTGAGAATAAAAAGATAAAGAGAAAAAAGAAAAAAAAATGGAAGATGGACATGTATTAGCCTTTTATTGATGTAAAAAAAAATTCCTGACATCCATAAAACAAATAAATATTTATTTTGGATTATGGTTTCAGATGTTTCAGCTTATGATGGTCACTTAGCCCTATCATTTTGCAATGGTTGAGGCTGAACATCATGGCATGGTGAGATTTCTGGAGAAAGATACTTACAACATTGCCTGGGAAGGAAATAGAATAAGAAACCGGGCCCAAACTTTCCTTTAAGGTTATTCTTCTAGTGAATTAACTTTCTTCCAGTAGGTCTCACATCTTAAAAGCTTTACTACCTCCCAATAGAAAAACAGATTAGTGAATAAACTTTCAAAATAAGGCTTTTGCGAGGCATTTAAAATCCATCCTTAACAGGCAAATTCTCCCTTTTCTATGGCTGATAAATCCTTCTTCTCCTGTTCTTGGATATCACAGCTCTTGATTCTTGGTCTTGAATTTCTGGGACTTCTACATTTCATTCCTCTTGTTCTTAGGTTTTTCATTTTCTTGTTATCAATCAATCTCTCACATGCACAGATTCTATTGCTTATTTATACCTTTAGAACTCTTGACTAATACAGTCTGCCATCCACTTGTGTTAATTTTTGCATAAGATATGAAGATTACTTCGATGTTCTTACCTACATATATCAATTTGTTTCAGTGGTATTTGTTGATGTATCAGTTTCCTCCATCAAACTTCTTGTTTTCACATTACTATGATGTTAATTAAGCATATCTGTATACATATTTCTGGGATCTTTATTCAACTCTATTAATTTATGCTTCTATCCCTTCACTAGTTCCCTACTATCTTGATTATTTTATCATGTTTTAATATTGAGAAAACTGGTTGCTCCTATGTCATTTTTTCACTTCACAATTTGTAGCTATTCTAGAGCTTGCATAATTTTGCATAAAATTTAAAATAAAATTGTCTTTGTCTAAATATAGGATATACACTAAATTTCCAGACCTTTTAGGTTAGGGACATGTTATCTCTTTACTATGTTGAGTCTTCAAATCATGGACACTTCATATCCCTCTATTTAACTTTGATTTTTTTATAGTAAAGACTGAATCCAAGGGTGCTTAAACACTGAGCCACATCCCCAGACTTTTTTTTGTATTTTATTTAGAGACAGGGTCACACTGAGTTATGTAGGGCCTCACTAAATTGCTGAGGCTGTATTTGAACTTGTAGTCCTACCACCTCAGCTTCTTAAGGTTCTGAGATTAGAGGTATGCACCACCATGTCTGATTTCTCTGCTATTTTTGATTAAGGTTTTGTAATTTTCACAAATGAATTATGAATATATTTTGTTACACTTATATGTATGTGCTTCAACTTTAGGGGAGCAATAGCTAATAGAATTGTGTTTATTTGTAGTTTTATTCCCATTATTTTTATTAATATATAAAATTTTAATACATTTTTGCATGCTAATCTTATGTCATGTGTCCTTTCTGAACTCATTTAGTCCTTACAGAAACTAACTTATAAAAGTTCTACATTTCGATAATTTTTAACATTATGTTGTGGCAATTTTAACTTTCTCAAGTAATAAACCTGTAATGATTTAGGGGAAATAGTAAAATAAAATAACATCTATTACAGTAAAACAAAATTTATAATAGCCTTTTTACCCAAAGATTTACCTTCGTTATGTAAAGTTCAATTCTTAAAAAGTAATTCTGATTAATTTCTATATGACTGTTTTTTTTTACTTCAATATGCTTAAAATATTAGATCTTCAAACTTCCTTATTCTTTTGAAATTTATATATATATATATATATATATATATATATATATATATTTTTTTTTTTTTTTGTAAAAACTTAGTCTTCTCTAAAATAATACTAAGAGTATTTTTTCAATCTGAGACATTTTAGTCAAATTCATTAGTATTATCTAAATATTAGAGAGACTATTTGAACCAGGTATGGTGGTACATGTCTGTAATCCCAGCAACTGTGGAGGCTGAGGCAAGAAGATTTTAAGTTTGAGACCAGTCTCAGCAACTTTGTGAGGCCCTAAGTAACCTAGAAAGACCCTATCTCACAATAACATATATAACAAAAAATAAATAACTGGGCATGTAGATCAGTGATAAAGCATCCCTGGGTTAAATATCCAGTACCAATAATAATAATAATAGTAATAATAATAATAATAATAATAATAATAATCACACTATTATAAGTAATGGTGATATTTCTGAATTACAGAACCATTAGTATAGAAATACTTGGGTGTATTTCTATATAATTGTTATGAACAGGTATTTAGGATGTACTTCTCACTGGATCAGTGGGTACTTATAATGACAGCCAATCTGAATACATAAGAAATACTGGATTCCTGCTGGGACTCAGAAGAGTAGAGGAGAGCAAAGGGTACTATCTTTTGAAATTGACAGTCTATTTTGAAAGATAAAGGTGTGGCTGACAAGGACATATGTCAGGGACTAATCAGAAGTTGATGAAAAATACTACCTCCCTCAACCACAGAAGTGGCTGAAAGATAGGGTAGTTCTTTCACACATGTCTTCATAGCACACACATAGGTACTCTTAGAACAAGAGGTGCAATTCAGGCCAGATTAATCTATAGAATAAGAAAGTGAGGAATCTGGCCAATTGCCCCATAAAACTTAGTTCTCACCTACTGATACTCTAAAAAAGACATTCTGAGGATGAAAAGTAGTATATCCTAATCGATCCCCCCAATAGAGGTGGCCATGCAAGAAGGGGATCATATTTGCATTCTGCGTACATATTTACCTAACATGTTTGGCCAGTTTTTGTCAGAGCTAAATTGAAAGGGTATCAGAATTTGTTTTAATGGCTTCTTCATAGGTGGCAGTTTCTAAATATTGAAACACCAGACACAGACTCCATTTAAAAAAGAAGAATAAGAAAAAGAAAAGAAAAAACAAAACAAAACAAAAAAGTGCTTGCTTCAGTAGCACATAAACTAAAATTGGAATGATACAGAGAAGATTAGCATGGCCCCTGTGAAAAGATAATACACAAATTTGTAAAGTGTTCCATATTTAAAAAAGAAACAAAACAAAACAAAAAAGTAATCTGGATCTTTGTAGGATAAGTGATGTTCTAACTGATTGATATTATCTAATACCTAGTGTCTCCTATAAACAACTATTCCATGTCACCCTTTTCTTTTGCACTCATCTTATTCTTCCCGCTTTAAACAGTCTTTCCTCTGACCCCACTCTCTACCATCTTTTCTTTTTTATTTACCTTATTTCAGTCTTATTTATTTTCATTGCATTTTCAAATTCAATTTATTATGCAATTATTAATTTGTAACCATTTCAGCCAATTCTGTATTACACCTCACACATTACTCTTATGTTAAGAAAGTTGTAGAGATCATTCATAATTATATTTATATTATATATTGATATATCATTTACTTTTAATCTATAACTGTTACTTTTGGCATTCTATTCTTCCACAGGGTCACTGAAGATTGAAATTAGCACTTGGATTAGACTGAGCATATGTTTTGAACCTAAGATGTACTGTCAGCACAGGACTGGTTCTAAAGAAACAATTACTCATCCCAGTGAAACTGGAGTTCTTCACAAAACCAAATTTTCCACTCTGCAGTGTATGGAGTAGGGAAGTTCTAACTTAAGGCCTCTGCAGACAAGAAAGCTTATTCTAGTGTTAGCAGCTAATCACAGCAGAGAAATGTGTGCTGTTATCAGCTCTGTGGGTTAAAAACAATGAAGCCAGATTTTTCTCTGCTGCTACAGCAACAGGCATGTTACACTTCTCAGTGCTGAGGAGTACCCTTCTCCATATAATAGCAGACCCAAGCAGCTCACCACCAGTTTCACTTCAGGTTCTTTTCTTGTGAACTTGAATAATGAAATCCATGGAAAATGAAGGGTGAGTGTAAAAGAGTAGGATTTATTCCAGAGAGAAGAAAATTAGCAGTGCTTTCTTAAAATGAGAAGGGGGGTTGGATAACAGTCTTTTTACTTCCCAGTGTGTCAGCCTATGGGTTAATATAGGGTCACTGGTCAAAATCTTTGTTAAACAAGTATTTGAAAGTGTTGAGTCTTTTGATTCAGCTGGTGACCTTCTGATTGACCACACATTTTTTGCAACTTTCCTAACCTCTATCCAGATCTGTTCCTACCAGTTTTCCTGCTTTTCTGGGACAAAGACTTGGCTGAAATTATCAAAATGTGGCCTTTACATTAAAAAAGTCTTAATTGGGGTCTATTAACCTGACTACATACCCAGTTTATTATCTATCTTATCTTGAAGGGTCCTACATAAAAGAGAAAGAATATATTTCAAGGGATGGTCAAATCTGGGACCTCAGAAATCATGAGGAAACAGAATAATATAATCCAACCCTAATAGTTACAACTCACCAATAAAGGAGCCAACAGACACTAACTGGAAGAAATTCCAGAGAATCATAGCACCTGGGACAGGGGTACCCTGTGTTTTGTTTCTTCTTTGCTAACAAAACATTAAACTTCCTTTTTTTTTTTTTTTTTTGGCAAACCATGTCCTCATTATTAGATTGGCATTGGGGACAAGGACCAAATTTTAGCAACAAATTTCACACCCTGAAGGGACCCAAGACCAGCACCCACTCCAGCTTTCTTTGGCAGGCCTGGCTCCAAGGAAACCCACATCCATACCAAGGTGCTGGCTAACTTGTTGAGAGCCAACAGCAAAAGAGTTAGGAGACAGGTGATTTTGCCTGGGGTCAAAGAAGAGGATCTATTCCTGTCAGTAAAGGGAGGGACTGAGGGAGCATCCCAGCAGCTACTAAAGCTCCTTTTGGTTTGGGGTTTTGCATTCTCTCTCTGAACAGTATAGGTTGTTCCATCATGGTCCACTTTGAGAGAAAGGAAACTGAACTCAGTAAAATGGTGACAACCTTGGCCATTTGGTAAGTCCCCTGGTGTGTGTGCCAAAACCCTTCATCCTGCACATTGGGTTCCTCTTTGTGGAAACACCTGGTCCTTCTTTTTGGGGACATCTGTAACACCACTGGTATAGGAGTCATGGTAAAGCAGGACTTGAGAACATAGGGATATGAGGGATATGAACTTCCTTCTGATCTGTTCTAGGTTCTCATCTGTTTGTTGACCTTGGGATTGGTAATTCCCTCTAGTTGTCTGTTTTGTTTGTATCTGCTACTGCTCCTATTAAGACGTGGCCAGTATTGCATTAATTCTATAGGTAAACTCTTGAGAATGATCTTGGCTGGTCTATTTAAAGGTTCCCATCTGCCAGCCATGGTTTTGAGGCTTCTCTCTGGTTGTCTCTTGTCTCTCTTTCTGTTTTTTCCCCCAATCTTGCAATTGGAGTTGGCATATAAGAGTTACAAATAGTTGAAGAAAGTGCTGCCTATAGGTATAAGTCTCAGATAGTGTTTTACTGTAATGACTTGGCTTTTAAATAGCTTTTTGGATTATTGTATAATCTTGCAGTTGGAGTAAGTATGTCAAAGGTAAAAAGAGTAGAATAAATTTTCATGGGTGGATCTGTCTGTTTTAAATGTTCCCATCTGTCCACCTGGTTTTGGTGATCCTTTCTTGTCTGTTTTTTTCTCTGTTACTGGCCCTTTAAGACATGGGCCATGCTGCATTGATCTTACTGGTAGTCTCTTTAGCAGAGACATCTTGATCACATCAGCCAAATATGGGTATAAACCTGTCTAAGAGAAAGATGGTTTAGTGTAACACAATCTGGATATTAAGTATTTTTTTCTGGATTATTATATAATCTTGAAGTTGAAGTTTGTCAGGAGTAAAGTATATGAAAAAGATTCTGTATGTATAGGCATTTGTGCAGTTGCATGACAAGGGGTCTGAACAGTCAAAAACTAATTTAAAGGAGCCAAAAGGCACTGCCTCTGGTGTACAAGGATAGCAGAATATGAGAAGAAAAAAAATTTTTTTAAATCCATATTTTAAATTCAGTGTTGACACTCCCAGCATTATTTCTCAGCCTGGCCCCTGGCAGCCACAGATCATCTTATTGTGGGCCAAGGACACAAGCCCTATACTGTATAAAAAAAGAAAAATAATCCCAGAAAACCTGCTTGGGCTACAGAAAAAATGGCTAAAGATAACCTGGCTTCTGTCATGCCTTCAACCTCTTTTTGCATTGGGGGGCAATGTTGGAGGCTACTGGCTACAAACAATGTGGTAATAGTTTCCAGCACAGTCAGTTTATGACTGGAGAAAGGCATAGTCTTCCCTTTTAAGCTGAGACAGGGTACCTCATTTGGCCAGGGCATATTAATCACTAGGGCAAAGCAATTCTTGCTATAGTAGTATCCCATCAAACCAAATGCCTGGAGAAACTGACAGAATAAATAACTGCACCCAGAAAAGAAAAAAAAAGACAGAAACTAAAGCCAACCTATGTTTTGTAGGAAGCCTCTGCAAATGGGTCCTCAAGGAAGCCTAAAAAAAAGAATGGAAAGGGCCTCTTCCATTGTATGACAATATGCCTAGCATAAGAAAATGGCCAAAGGAAAAAAAAGCCTCCAGATATAAATGACAGTGGGAAACTCACTTAAAGTTGAGTGAATGTGATAATAATAAGAGAGCCAGGTCAGGATCAAAATATCCTGTGTTCCAACCCCTTGAATGCAACCTCAGAGGAAAATAAGTAATGTAAAGTTTTTATATATGCTGAATTTTCCAACTCTCTTCTGAGATGAAATTTGTTGTCTAAACTAAATTCACAGGGGCTTGTTATTTAGTGGTAGAGCACTCACCTAGCATGGGAAATACACTGAGTTCGATCCTCAGCACCACATAAAAATAAATTAAAAAAAAATAAATGCACAGATACCATTCATAAGGTCTGCTTCAGAATATGAATTTTAAAAAAGGTCCAAAACTAGAAAAGAAAGGTATAGGTATGGAAATATATTTTCATACAGAAAATTAGAAGTTTAAAATAAATGTTTCTAGATGAGAAAGTATTTTGTCTGGTAAAGTAATATTCTCTGGCTAAAGTCCAAGATGAAAGTGGACCAAAGTAAGAATGCAAAATTGAGAATGTAAGTAAGTCACAGAAGTTCTGTGGAAGATAAATCTCAAAAAAGTTTGTGTTTGTGATTAAATTGGCTATAATTAATAACAAAGTTCTTAGAACTTTAATGTACTGATACACAACAAAGTATGAAACATTGTTCTGCTCTTATCTATCAAAATAATTTTATTGTATTTGTTAGGTTTTATTACTTGGGGGAAACTAAGTCTTAAAGGAATTATTATTTTTTTCCTGTTCAAAGTCTTAAATGATTACTTTATAACTGGTTAAAAAACTGTTATGTGTAACAATATAGTCAACACCCAGATTATATGGGACTAGTTATACATATGCATCTGAGAGCTAGATCTGCCTAAGCCTTGTTTAAGTGTTATGTAAAAGTTTATAAGAAATCCTGGGAATGAAAAACCCAGTAATCAAATAAAAAAATTCAGATAAAATTCTCACTGGTAGATCAGATTATATAAAATACAGATTTCTAGATCATGAAGACAAGTTACATGAACTTGAACATTCAGTGTACAATAACAAAAATTAAGTAACCATGATCAAAATATGCATCACTTCTAATTCAAAACTAAGAGATAAAATTTAAGAATTATTGAAATCAGCAAGGTCTGGTGGTGCATGCCAGTAATTCTAGGGGCTCAGGAGCCTGAGGCAGGAGGATCTGGATTTCAAAGCCTGCCTCAACAAAACAAGGTGCTAAGCAAATCAATGAGACCCTGTCTCTAAATAAAATACAAAATAAGACTGGGGATGTGGCTAAGTGGTTGAGTGCCCCTGACTTCAATCTCTGGTACCCAGCCCCACATACACAGCCAAAAAAAAAAATATATATATATATATAAAACAATTATTGGTTATCTTCCTGTCAAGATAACCAATAACTGTTCTCTTTTATACATTGTATCTGACATAGAAGGGTCACACTGTCATTTGAACACCTACCTTATATCATTTGCTTTGACTAAATCAACTTACAATGATTA